CAAAAATGGGAGCATCTGTAAAGAGGTTAAAATGCCATGAGCTAAGCAGTTCCCTTCTAAATGTTACATGTTCCCAGCATGACACTGAAATACAGAAAACACAGCATCATCAACCGCTGTCATTATCAGTCACTCAGCAGCAGTAAACATGTAGTGTTAATCTAGACTCAACTCCGAAGCCACTTTAAAGCAAAACTGGACGTAGAAGGAAAAAAAAAAAACAGAATCAGCCGAAACAATCTCTCTTTGTAAAAACACTCACTGAGAAGGTACAATCTCGTTTCAAAGAAAAACTCATCTCTGTTGTCATAGAAACGGCTCTTTGACATGAACTAATGACACAAAGCCTTAAAAAGTCACTTTATTCTTGCGGTTAGAGATAGAGACAGCTTTATAGAGAAGAAAAAAAAAACCAAAAACATAATGGCACCTGAATTCCCTGTTCAACCCTGTGAACACACACACACACACACACACACACACACACACACACACTTACCCGCCACCTGCTGAGCCAGAAATGGAAACCAAAATAAGAGTTGGGTCTGTTTGAAACACTCAGCTGGGTGATCAGAGCCTTTCTGCCAGTGCTCAGCCCTCCTATGCCCTGTGCTGCTTCCCAGAGTGCACTGCTTCAGGCCTTCAGAACACAGTAATAATTAGTCATCTGATCTCCCCACCGACCCCACCTCCTGTAGATTACAGGTTTCATATCATTACCTCCTGATGAAAGACTGTTCGGCTAGCCGTCGCTGCCTGAGTCTTTGTCAGGTTGTTGTTTCTTCTTTTTCCTCTCCATTACTCTCTCCTCTCTCTCTCTCTCTCTCTCTCTCTCTCTCTCTCTCTCTCTCTCTCCTCCCTTCCTTCCCTTCTTCCCATGCTCTCGCTCTAATCATAAAAGGAGTCCAAAAATCAAAGGATTAATTCAGCGTCATTGGTTTAAAGCAATTAACTGCTCTTCCAGCTAATCCTCAGAGTTATGTCTCAAATCCAGAAATTGGCCACTGGAGATGTGCAGCTCTGCCCACACTACATTGTTTTTCCTGGTAAATGAAGTTGAAAGAGGAGTTCTTTACTTATGAGAAAAAAAAATAAATCGTTTTTCAAACTCTTTGATGAAAAGAGGAATTGTAAAACTTTGAATAATTAGGAGATTTATCTTTGCATTTCAATGTCTCCCGCAGTAGTTTTTTTAGCAGATAGTTAATCCGAATCATTCATTTGGGATAATTAAAATAAGAACTGTATTTATTCAATCTAAAGCCAGCCAATTTGCAAAAGTTATTGGCTATTACAGTTTTGGCTGCAGGTTTTTATAGCTGTTCCTCGTGAGGAATCGTGCTATACATTTTAATAAGCGCCTCATCTTCCTGATTTGCCACACTGTGATTAATTTTGTCACAGCTCATAGAGAAGTTGAATCATTTAGGCTGGTATTTAACATTTTAATGAATGCTTTGTACTCTCGGGAAGCTTCATGAAGATTTATTGTGTCATCGCCGTGTGAGACATCTATGTATAAACTACTAGCTGCTGCTTCAGTGAGAGTGTATACTGGGATCAACTTTTCCCTAGTCATTGTCATGGTGTAGTAACAACATGTGAGCACTAGGGGGTACTATGAGATAATATATAGAAACACAGACATTTTGACCTCATGTTGTAACTTTTTTTACTTTGTTGAAATGCATGTTGCTGTAATATTTGCACAAGCTCTTATTTGTATTTTTGCACAATTAGACCTACTTTTATTTCCATTACATATATTTCTATAAACTCCTACATATTGCAATTCTATGAAATCTTATCAGGCAAAATTTAAAGGCAATCTTTATTAATATGTAGAGGGGGATATCCATTGTGCTTTAGATGAAAATAAAAGAGGAGAGAAAGAGGAAGAGAAAATAGTAATAGCATTTCACAACAAGCAAACAGGAAGGCACACAAACCGTTCACTTACAACTCATCATTGAGATGTCCAAGAATTTGAGCAAACCTCAAGCTGTCAGGGAGCCAAGTACGAAGTGACCCTCTGCACAGCAGGAGTACAAGATGACCTGAGAGGTCAGTAACAGTAACTGTTCCACACTGACAAACGCATCATATTGATTTGTATATGGAGGCAGGGTGACACAGAGTAGGTTACAGCTGCACATGCAGAAGAAGAGTGGAGTGTAGAATTGCCTTTCAACAACAGAGAGATTCTCTGTGTGGAGAGAGAGCAGTGATGTTACTCCTGAATGACAGCGTGTAAACTTGAATTGATGTCCTGTTCCAACCCCTGTGCTTATCTTCAACTCCACGTCACATGGAAAATAACTTGTTTAGCTTGTGCAAACCACTCTTGTGACAAAAAGTTAAAAAAATTGAAGCAAGGGAAAGTTGTAGATTAATAAAAGCTGCACGGCTGCAAGAGAAGAGGATGAAGAGAACAGTTATAATTAAATGGGTTTTTTTTTTTTTTTAATCTCTAGGTTTTCGCACACCGACTCATGTCTGCCAGAGATTCAAGGAGTGCCAAAGCCCCCAAAGCAGCAGCGTGGCAGCCAGGTAGGTTCTGCTAGCCAGTATCAACATTTTACCAGCTCCTTAAGTCGACAGCCTGAACCTGAGTATCAACACTGTAAAAACAGATAACATGAAGATTATAGTCCAGTATCATCACCAGCCTGCTGCCATAAATCCTTAAATTCTAACCCTGATTGCAGTTGCTCCTCCAATTGCGATTGGGGCTTTTGCAAGAACTGGGACAGTAGCAGAGGCTTCATTTCCTGGATCAACAGCAGCTAATCGTAAAGAGGACAAAGGTCCAAACTATCATGGCCAGGACAGTATTGTGTTACCCTGGAATGATTGTGCTTAAAGAGCGAGGGGAAAGAAAGCTGCAGCAGCTAGCTCAGCCTGTATTCTCACTCGCTCTGTGGTGACAACCTTTCAATTTGTGTCTCTATTTTTAGCCCCTTCCATTTTCATTCCTCCTCTGGCCTATTCACAGCTTTAGTGCCTGTGATTTCAAAGGCTATGTGAGGAATCTTTCTGTCGAGCATTAGTGGAATAGTTGAGTGGATGAGGGACAAAAAGGCACGTCGTAAAACCTTGCCATTGCCGTCTTTCTACTACCTGATATTTACCTTTGCTGTTAAAGGTGTGATCACATGATTACCACCATTCAGTGACTGATTACATGTGCCAGGTTTTCTTTCAGCCACTAATGCTTTCAGTAATTATGAGTTTGTGTTGAAAAGATCTGCATCAACATTTGACTTTAAAAATTGACTTTAAATAGTTGGTGTGCCAAATTTTATCCATGCTTTTCAGTTGTATTCCATTACATTTCCCTCATGCAGTCAAAAGCATGTAAACAAATGTAAACACAGAACACAAATGTACAAGTTTACATGGAATATAACAGCACATAACAGTTGTAACAAACAGCACAACAAATCTAACAATTAGCCTTCACACCTTCAAACACAGATGGAGATCTTGGGGTACAAATTTACATAAAACAGAGAGAAAACATCACATTTTCAAAGAGAGAACGAACAACATACGGCGCCATTAGAACCAGTCTTATTAAAGACTTCCCCTGAAGAGCAACAAACATAGGCCCTGTTTCACAGAAGCGTCTTGAGGCTAATGTGACTGTAGCCCATAATCTTACACAGGGACTAAGATTAGTTTAGCCTTAAAGTGCTTTTGGGAAACAGGGGCCCAGAGTTTATTCTATATATGAGAGAAATATCTCGGGCGACATACTATAGCATCCAGTCTCAGCTTTAATAGGCAGGATACTTTTAGCCCATTTGACCCATCCCTATTTTAACCGTCTCCTCCATAAACAAGTCTTACTTGTTCAAACTCTGTTCCAGTTTGACAGCACCTGAGTCCAAAACACATCCTTTACCTCAGCAGACAGACGACAGAAGTGGCTCCAAGTGCAAAGGAAAGAGTTTTAGAATATACCAAGTATCCTCTGAGGTGTATGTGTCAGTAACTGCAACAGATTCGACACCAAATGTTAAATATGATGGCTGTCCAAAATGGTTACAGCTCCTACGCTGAGGAGCTCAGCTGATGACTAATTAACTGGAGTCCAGAGTGAACACAACAAAAAATATGTCAGTGCCTTAATTCTTTCATCACATTTACTAAAGAATTAACTTTTTTATTTGACATTTTCAACTTTTCAAAAGCTGAGAGAAAGACATCTTCACGGCAATAAATCTAATCATGATTATTTGTGTTGACTACATCCAGCTGTTCTGCCAAACCCCCGTCAGCCATCAGCCATGTGATCAGCAGTAAGACCTCCATGCTGCGGAGGCTGAGAGCTGCCTTTGACAAGAGGGCTGAGGAGACGGCTCAGAGCTACATCGACATCCTGGAGCTCAAAGCCAGGTCTGGCAACCATCCAGTCCGTTTTCCCAGACTGCCACTCACATATCCGCATGATGATTACCGGGCTGTGTTTCTCAGAAGCATCATTTATATTAAATTCAATCTTTATTTCCTTTAAACTTTTAAGTACTACTATACAAACTGATATTTGTGCTGTATTTAAAGTGTTACTTAACATTTTGGCAGTTTATGATAGCTTGTACTGCTCTTGCAAATGATGCTCAATTTTGTTTCATCATCCATTCATTCAGTATCACAGCTGATGGTGCTTAAATTCATCTGACTGCAAAGTCGATCACGTGATCTTTATCACAGAGTTTAACCCACTCACTAACTGCTTTACCTTGACTCTGAGGGTGAACGTCCTAAACCTCCTCCTAACTGGTACTGCTGGTTACGTAACACACATGTTTGCTCTGTTATCAGTCTGTGTGTTTAATGTAATGCACATTTAAATACAAGTCAAACACAAGCAGCGTGTAGTAAAAACGTGCTGCATTACAGCTCCTACATGTTGTTTTTTTTTCATTCAGTTTTTCTTCTCCCGTTCAGGGAGAGGTTAGACAGCGGCCTCCAGAGGTGTGGAGCTTTGTGTCACATGACCGAATCCCACCACGCTCCTCATCATGTGACCTGCAAGTCCCAAGAGACAGAGGCTCCAAACAGCAACAATAAAAACAAGCACAGCAACAATATGTGGTATGCAGCCTGGTGAAGACATTAACTCGTGTGGAATGTGCAGTGGAGGGGACGACAGGGTTTATTGGGGGGGGTCACATTTGTGTTTTCACACATCTGTGAATCTGTATGCACACATGTTATACATATGTATCACTAATGCGTACCATATTCTCATGCGTCGAAGCGTGTTGTTGCCAGCGGATCTGACACCTGTGCTGGCTCGCTCTGTCATCTCTATCAGGCTGTCCACTCTGCTGAGCAGCCTGCCTGTGGAGGTGTGTGAGGAGCGAGCGGTGGGCCGGGTGCTGCAGAAGCTGAGGGGTTTTGCAGAGCAGCAGACGATCAGGGTTCGACCTCACGTCTTCCTGAGGGTGTTGGGGGGTCTTGAGCCCTGGGAGCTCTGTCTGCCCGAGCTGTGTGTGGCCATCCAGGTACACAAAGCTCGTGCTCACACCACATTTCACAAAGTTACAGGAAGCTGGCTCACACTTTTTAATGATCGTTAAGGAACTGCTGCAAAACCGACAACATCTCTCCCGCAGCTTAGACTCTGAAAATGAAATGAAATAATAGAATAACATAGTATTTGAGATAGTATTTAAAAATTTGCCATTTAGTATTGAAATAGTAAAGTCACATCGATGCCAAAGCCCTTAGAAATATATAGAAATAAATGTTATCAAAATAAAAGATACACATTTTTTTTTATAGTCTGGAATCACAAAATCAACAGAACACCTTGCAACTTGTCATTTGGTAAAAAATTAGTGATAACTTTACACTTTTGGGGAGCTTTTTAAACAGTTTACTCCACTGCCAATAAATGCCAGGAACACACAAGTCGACACTGCATGATATAAATGCAAACTAAGTTTACCACTTTATGACGGTTGGTTTTCCAAGATTGCGAGAGGCAACCGGACAAAATGTGTGAAGCCCAATTCTTTATTATTGCAGTTGAGTAACAGATTAAAAATTTGGTAGAAATAAAAGAGATTAGATTGTGGGATTTTACTGAACTCCTCTATTCTTCCCTCAAAGTTAAGCCCGACAATAAACTCCTGGTCACTCGTACCAAACCATCAATTAGGGACGAGCCTCGCTCTAAAACCAGCAGACCCCAGACCCTCTGAACACGCCCCTACCGGTCAGAAATGAGGGGAAATGCATTCCTGCCAGACTGGAAAGCAGATAAGCAGAGGTGTAATGACAGGGAGCCAACTGATAAATAACACTTGAGGACAGTGAGGATGGCTCGCTGATTTAAAGGGTCAGTGGGGAGCGGTGGGCACCGGCAGTTTTCTCTCTGTGTTCCTGTATTTGGCAGCGGCTCCCTCTGAACCTCAGTGCTGAATCAAACCCACCACAGATGACTTGTTTGGTTTCCATTTCTGGAGCAGTAGGAGGACACCAGGGTGGGCTGGGGGGAGGGGGGGGGTGTCTAGGATTGCTGGTGTATGAATGTGTTTACGGGAAAGTTGTGGCAGGGCGTGTGGGCTCCAAAGTATACTTTAGTTCAGTTGCCACTACTCATTTCTTTCACAAAGCCAACATAGAGAAGCTCTTAATTTTCAGTTTTTAATTTACAGTCTTTGTCAAGTACCTCTTATGTCAAATCAGTTGTATATTTGTGTTTTATTTCTTGCTTTTAATTGTATAAAGTATAATTTCTGTCTGTCTCTGTCTCTGTTTAAATCACCCCTCCTCCCTCTCTATTCTTCTGTCAGATTGCCATGCAGCATGTGGTCCAGATGCCCCGGGAGGAGTACGATGTTTGGCTGCGTTCGAGAGTCACTCTGCCCCCGCAGTGCCACCGTGCCGCTCATACGCCAGGTGAACCGCACTCAGCAGGAAGACCTGAAAGGAAAGTCACAGACGGGGACAAATAGATAAAGAGAACACAAGCACACGCACAAAGGTTTTAAATTAATTTGAGGCTGAAATAGCCTTTAAAGTCACTGGGCAAAAAATCATGAGTATATATGAAATTTGCTTCAGAAAAATCACATAACAAGTAACAAAAAAAGCTCAACTGAATGTTAGAAGACTTATTATTATTATTATTAATATTATTATTATTATTATTATTATTATTTGATAGTTGCCTGAAGAAAAGGAATAAGGAATAATAATCAAGACTTTTTATCTGTGTAAGCCTGTGGTTCACACATGTGCAGGAAGGTATAAACATGGAGATACAGATAAACAACAAGGGGGAAATGGGAAGTAAGACTGGTGCATACCTTTCACTTCTTCCCTTTATCAAGACAATCTACAGTCATTTGTTACAAAGAGCTGCAAAAGGCCTTCCTGGTTTCTTCCCCTGCAAGTCTCCAGTGGTAGCTCACAGGTTATATGTTAGAACTCGTTAGTTCTTAAATCCTATGCGGTAAATTATTCTATGTTTGTCTTTGCTAATCATGCTGACTACTCGGTTCTTCTTTTATTTTTTCAAAAAACAAAAACCACTGTAGATGTTCCTTTCACTGTAGACCCACCCCTTCCTCTTTGCAAGGAAAGACCTACTTGACTTAGTGTTCAGCTTTTTAGAACTGGCGAGGTTGAATCACTATCACACACAGTGTTACCTGTCTGTAGTACCTGTCTGTAGAGAGCTGCATTTCTTTGCATGAAAATATCACAGGCCACTATTTAAAATAACATAAGATATTTTTTGCAAAAGGACAAACCTTAAACGCGATGATACAAACAGTAGGATGATGGATAAACAAGCCAATATACGGACACTCAGTTGTGTTGTTGAACCCAGCTAAACACTCATTTTGACCTTTAACCTTGCTCCGCCTGCTGATGGAGGGGGAAATAAAAGTGCCTGACCCCTGACTCTCCGCCCGCTGGATAAGAATAATGAACTTCAGTTCACTTTTTATTGCCGCCTTCAGCATTTTGGTGGAAATGAAAGTGAATGTGTCTGAAATCATTTCTTGAGACTGTGAATGTATGAACCTAATGTGGTTGAGATGTATTTGTGAGGAGTGAAAAATGATGTTTGACAACGAAATACACAACAACAAAAAACACCATTTGTGTTGTTTTAACTTCTAGTAACTTCTAGTCCTCCTTATCCGTTCATCATGATAAGATGTACTGTATGTTTTTTTCCATGTGAGATGGGGCAGGGCTAAACCGCTCTAGCCTGCGTGTGTGTGTGTGTGTGTGTGTGGCTGTATGTTTAGTGGTTGTGGAGAAGCACAGAGTGAAAGGGGAAAGGTTTCTTGCCGGGAAGAGGAGGGGTGGGATTGGGAAGGGGGGGGCAGCATTGAGCTAGCACACATTTCAGGAATGCCACACAGTCTGGGAGCCGAGCTCAACCCACCCCCACGCTCCCCCTCACTTAAGCTCCAGGCAGGGGGATGGTGGGGTGCGGGGCGGCAGAGGCAGACATGAGGGGGAACAATCATTCTTTCATTTGAACTTCTCACTCAGGTTTTAGAGCTCATGCCTCAGGGCGCAAAGTCTAGACCGAGTAAAGTGGAAGATAGCAAATAGCTAACAAACATAGCTACTGGCACGATTATGCACATAAGTAACATCTAGAATAAGGTTTTAAGATGAAAATGAGTCTTTGTCGCGGTGAGCATGAACAAACTGGTATAAATAGAAGTATTGATTAAAATGAAAAGACAGATGTTTAACGGGCGCAGAGGAGTTGTGTTTAAATGACAAAGTTACCAGCCAAAAGTTTAAGGTTTCTTATTACAGTCTTCACCTGCTGGGATCTTTTTAGCCTCAAAATGGAAAGTTACAAACTAATCTAATATAGCTGATCGCGTGAACATCAAAGCAGCACCCCTCCAGTTTTCCATAAGATCATGGTCAAAGCAGTGAAAATGTGGGCATCCACCCCCCCACCCCCCCACCCCCAAATTAAACATTTCTGACAGAGTATAATCCAGTTCATAGTCCTACACAAACTGTAAAAACAGTGGTGAACTTTCCTCTGTGGGTCTCGGGTGTGAGGAAGATAACCCTGATGACATCACTGTGATACCAAATTTTATTTTAAACTGTGGCCGTTGAGTTTGAAAGACAGGGTAGGTGTAATGAAAGATCATTTCAAGTTGGATGCACAGAGATCTAACCCTATGATCCCTTTGTTTTCTGCTTGTGCGTCTTTGTCATCATGTGTGCTGATTTCATGTGGTGAAACTGCTGTGAATGATGAAAGATGTGAGCAACAACTGGGCGGACACTGAGGCAACTGTGTGGGACCATTTTAAAAAAAAAAAACAGCTGCTATTGCAAGGCCGGTCTGCTGGTGGCACAGCAGAGCGTGGCAGTGACCGTCCCAGATATACTGTGTATCTGGAGTGTGGTTTCGCTGTTGAGTCAAGAACCTGCAAACTATTCGGTGATTGTGGATTTGGATTTAGTGTCTTAAAAAGTAAACACGATTTAAAAGTAGAGAGAGAAAAACTGTCAGACTCCAAGGGTTCTTCAATCTACTTTTACTGATCTATAAGAAGATAATGAAGAGCACAAGCAGCAGAAAACACAGAACAGTAAAGAGGAGCTAAATGTTGAAGGCGAAGAAATGAAAAGAACAAGATAAAAACAGACTGAGATTAAAAATTAACAATTATATTTTAAGAGAATTTATGGCATCTGCTTATCATAATGATAAGTGAAAGTTTAACAGTGGAACAAGCTGAAGCGGTGATCAGAACGATAAGAACGATGAAATCATTTCTATTTAAAATGTACCAGAAAATGAGTTTGATAAAAAAAAGAATAAAAAAGGATTCAGATGAGGGTGAAGTCGTGTCGGTGCCTTGATCTTACAACCTCGTGTTCTCTCGGCCACATCGTATCAGAAGCACTACAACTGAGCCGCCTACAGGAAAATTCAATATTTACTCTCCAGTTCACCAGCAGCAGCTTCAACATTGCTCGTGTAGAGAGGAAGTGTTTGCTTAATGCTGAAAAGTTGTGCAACCAGAAGCGGAGTCTTGCAATTATTACATAAACAAGCTGAGTTGTAGTGAAATCAAACTTCAAACTGGGACATTAGGGGTTGTGAAATACAGGGCGATTTTGCAGTACTGCTCCTGCAGCTTCATGGTGGAAAATACGACATTAAACTTGTATTTTAGTTGTGAGGTGATAGCGATCTGCCTGAAATATCAAATGTAAAAACCATAATAGCTACATGACATGTTTTTATCAGTTCCTTTGTGTCTTCCTGCTCCGGCATGTTCCCTCATTTAGCCCTTTGTCCTGCTGATAAATTCCCCGCAGCTGGCTCTTTGCACATGTAGACACTCTCTTATCACTGCTCAAACAGCTAAAGGGCACCTACACCGTTCTCAAAGTCACGCTCACACTTGAAATTTCCAGCCGATTACTATTTTTTTTTTTTTCTCCACAGGTCTGCTGGGGCAAAAACTAACGTTTATGTCACGGTGACAAATGTCACTTAACCCCAAGTTCAAAGTGACTTATCACACGGCCGCACAGGCTGGACTAAAGGCTGTCCTCACCGCCGACCAAAATAGCTGCGTAGCGTTAGCTTAAAGCACACTCACAACACTTTTACAGCTGAGGCCGCCGAGGGAAAAACCACCTGTTGTGGGTCCAGTGGTGAACGTGTGCTGCTCTCACTCTTTACATCTGACCGTGACTGCACAGTATGTCGGACAGATGGCCTTAGTTTTTTATCATATTAGCTTCCTTTGAATATGAAGTGAATGTAGCAGTTTCCTGTATTATTTTGCATCAACTCCCTGTCAGTGGCAGGGATATGAATTGAATTTTCGTATATTATGACTCAAGCAAATGGTGCTCCTTGCAGTTGTTTTAAAACTTTATAAATCCAGTTTTTATTTACCTTTATTGGCGTTTAGTCTGGAACAGTCTGCCTGAGGACCGTGACATTTTTAAAAGAAACATGTCTTATCTTATCTCATAGCTTTTTACTGGAGGTGCCTCCTTATTTGTTGCCCTAGATTTGTTGCAACACTATTGATCCATGACTCTTCCACCTGGTCACCGCAGGAGTGTTTGATATTACAACAGACACGATACAAGCTGTGACAGCTAAGGGATGTTTGTTGTGTCAGAAGGCCCTAGGTGGTCCTGATGAAAACACACGAAAGATGAAATTCCACAGAGGAATTACTGTACTTAACTTGCGTATGTGTGTGTGCATGCCTGTCTGTCCGTGCTCTGTGATCATGTTCGAGCAGACTGTGTTAACTGCTGGCAGACGCAGGCTGACGCACGAGCCTTTAACCTCAGGGGCCTGGTTGGGACAAGCGGCGAAAGGCCAACAGTTCTGGTTTGCACTGAGGAGAGAGAGAGAGAAACTATCTTAGGAAGTTAGTTACCTCAGAATTTGACTTAGATTGCAGATTGAGTAAAATGCAAAGCTCTGTCAAGGTTGTGAGCCGAAGTCCTTTGGATGACATCTAAAAGATATTCATGATGTGCAGTTTTAAATCCCCCCCTTGATCCGCTCTGAATCTTTGTTACGTGGGTTTGCTGCCTTTTGAGTGAGCTTCAAAGGGAGAATCTGCCACGCTGTGTAGGAGGAATCCAAGTGATTAATGTTTTCTTCCAGCAGACAGGCTGCCTCTTGCAGACCTGCCACATGTACAGGAAGTGAAACCATGGCAATGGAGCCTTGTGTAATGTGTGACGCCAGTTCTCCCCGCAGCTTGCATTAGCTTATGCCTATTAAATATCACTCCGGGAAGCCTCGTCCAGCCTGCTGTCACTCACTGTATACAGCGTCTCATCGTCTCATGTCTTCCTCATCGCTGACCTCGGCTTTTGTTCAGAGGAACATGTTGTTGTTGTTGTTGTTGTTGTTGTTAATTTCTAAAAGACGGTTATGGGGTGGAGAGCTTATCTCTTAATTAACTTGACTACATGTGTCTTAGTCATCTCTTAGTTTTTTGCTTTGTGTTGCCATTCATTAATTTGCATACTTTGGAGAGATGTCATAGTTTCTAGGTGTAAAAAAAAACAAACAAAAGTCTTGAAAATAAGTTTTTCCACTTCCAATCTTGGAGAAATGTTGCCTTTATATTTAAAGTTTCCCCCACTCAAAAATATATTTTGCTTATTGTTACTTGACACTTGATGGCTGTTTTCACTTTCATTTGCTAAAGGGGGAAAGTTTTCCTTTTAAGATGCGACCATACAACCATGATTTTGTGACACCACAACTGGTGTGGTCTAATGTGTAGTTAATAAATGTGACGTGGAAACTTGAAGCCCCCCCAGCGCACGCTAACAGTGGACTTTACAGTGAAGTAGGAGACATGTTTTATCATGTCTTAACTGGAGGTTCTACAGCGTTACCTTGGAACTGCATGTTTTTGACCTTCAGGAACGTCTGACGCCTGTAAGTAGCCCGACTGTTTCCTCAGTGTGCTTTGGCTCAGTGCCGTGGAGCAGACACGCATTAACACACTCCACTGACTGTCCTTTGTTGCCAGTGGTAACTGAAGATAATGATCTCTCTCACAGCTCGAGAGTAAGCCACCTTGACTGTGAAGTGTGCATCTGTGTTCGAGCACACGCTGGTATGTGTGTGTCCCCGATCACATACGTCGACAGATTCTTGTTGTGTGCACATACATTTAAGTGTGTTAAATGTGTGACTTGATCCTCGCATAATAACAGGAGGTTTGGGGTTGTCGTGCTAGTATTGTCTTTCTATCTCTTGTTCTCTCCTGGAAGTGAAAAGAACAGCTCAAACGGGATGATGCAGTTGAAAGACTGTTGATTGATCGCTATTTTTCTCTATAATGATTAATGGCTTGTTATTATGATCATTTGGAATGTAGGACCTGACTGAAATCTGGAAAAACAAGCCAGACCTGAAGCGGTAGAGAGAGCAGAAACACACCTTTCTGAAGTGGGAAGACGTGATTAACAAGCCTTTTTCTCCAAATATGAAACGGTGATTGAGAGCAGCAGTTTGTCTTTTAAACATGCTGGTGAATCATGTTCCTCCATGTACG